GTTGTCCAGGGTGAGGTCGTCCTTGAAAATCTTGCACACCTTGATGATCTCCTCTGGTGTTGGCTTCTCTCCCGTGGTGCGCACCTTGCGGAAGAACTCGGCAAACTCCTCTGTCTGCGCGTTCTCAGCAGAGACAGGCAGGCCAGTCTCCTTGAGTGTTTGACGAAGGAAGTCGCTAACGTCCTTTCGGGTCGCTCGGAGCGTCTGGGCTTTGGTGTCCTTGGCCGACTGACCCTCGTACGTGCTGGGCAGCATGTTGGGGAAGAGCTTGAGCGCTACAGGGAGCAGCAGTTCGGCGAAGGGGACGATAACGAAGGGCAGGAAAGGTACCAAGCGGGCCAGATCCTGTACGGTACGTTGCAACTAGGTCTGTTAGTAAAATTCGCAAATACTGGCTTCAAACACGTACTTGTCGACGCTCACGGCGGGTAAGCTCGTACCCAGCTGCCATCTTGAGAGCGAGTTTTGAGCTAATCCGGACCTCGAAGCCCAGCAGCTTGGTGCCATCCCAGTAGTGGACCAATTCCTTCTTGACCTTTTGCCAGACGGTCAACTTCTTCTTCTCTGCGTCCCTTTTGGCCAGAATCTTCTTCTCGTCCTTGGATTCAGCAGCCGACTTGTCCATCTTCAGCTCGCTCAATGTTTGGACATCTTGCGCGGGTGTCTTCGGGTTGGAGGTTGCGCCAGACTTGGGGATGATGGGGTCTGACTTCTCGACGGACTGTTTTGATTGTTGCTGGGGCTTGAGGAGGTGCTGGTTGGCCTGCTTGGGGTCGAAGCCAGGAGGCGGGTAGTTTTGCGCATTGTTCGATGTCGACTCAGTTTGGAGGGCGCGTAGCGGAATGAGGATGCGAATGGCGGGTGAGTTCCTCAGCATAGGGCGATGAGCTCTGGTAGTGGTTCTGATGCCCGCTCGGAATACTGCGGGCGCTGCCCTGGAGGCAGTGCGACCGGCGTACATTGCGCCGGGGGAAGTGTAGGGAGTGACGTATATGGTACAACGATTAAAGTAGTGTGGGTAGTGAATCAACAGATGAAGGGTAGAAAAGAGAAGGCTGTGTGTGTGTTGGGAATTTGATGCAAGGAGTGTGGAGTGATGCAGCTCTGAGAAAATGGGTTCCTCTGACGTTGCGTCTTCGGACTTAGTCTCAGGGACCGCCGGGCGATCTGCTGGGTCAAGCTTGGTCGCCACCAACGGGCGCATAAGCCATTCGCCTGACGCGCATCATGGTGACAGCTAGGAAGATACCGGATGGACGCATGACATGTGCGCCATGGGACGCTACAGGCAGGCAGCAACATGTACCTCGGATTTGTACGAAGAGACGTAAGGGCCAATGGGTACTCTCTCTGTCGGCATATTGTCGCCAATTGGCCGAGGCGCTGGGGTCTCCGATGTCCGCAAGAACGACAGCGCGGCTTGCGAATGGCATGCCGTGAATGCTGGGCCGTCCCCTCACTCCACGCCTATCCGACGGTAATCGTCCCTCTCCCATCTTAACCCAGGTTCCGCGTCTGGGCACTCCATAATTCCTCCTGTCACTTCTCTCCGTACCCTAGTTCCGATCCTCCATTTCATTCCACACAATTTTCGCCATGGATTTGTTTTAGTAACTACGAGCCCTCGGCGGAGCCCTCGAGCTTTATTCACCGTACCGACCTGGACTATTCCCAGCAGCATATTCCTAGAGTCGCCTCTATAGCATAAATCAGCGACAACACACATCACAACAATGACTGTCCAACGGTTGTCCAAGGCCGCCAGGATCATACTGGTCGGCGCGCCTGGCGTCGGGAAGGGAACTCAGACGGAGCGCATGATGAAAAAATTCCCTGAGCTCTCGTCAATCAGCTCTGGCGATTTGCTGAGGAAAAATGTTCGGGAGCGGACACCTCTCGGTATGCGCGTTGCTCTCTCCATACCGACCAATGCTGACTTGCGCAGGCATACACGCCGAATCCACGATGAAGGCTGGCAAACTAGTACCCGACGCCATGATCCTGCGCCTCATCGTCAACGAACTCACGAACCGCGGTTGGATAAGAGACAACGCTTTGCGGCCATATGCGCTCAACTTCAGCTCCATGGACGTGCCAGAGACGACGGTAGATGCAGTCATGATCCCCTCGGCAGTACGGGCTCCCCGCTACACCTTCTCCAACAGGCCGTCGGCTTCATTCATACTCGACGGTTTCCCCCGAACCGCCGTTCAAGCGATCCAACTCGACAACATCGTACCTATCAATATGGTAGTCAACCTCAACACCCCGAGTGACATCATCATCGATCGGATATGCAACCGCTGGGTACACGAGGCATCGGGACGTGTCTACAACACGACATTCAATGCGCCAAAGGTGGATGGCAAGGATGATATCACGGGCGAGCCGCTGACACAAAGAGCGGATGACGACCCAGAGGTGTGGAAGGCGCGGTTGAAAAACTTCAAGGAACACAGCGAGCCTCTGCTGGAGCATTACGACAAGCTTGGCGTGCTCTGGACGGTCAACGGGAACAGCAGCGACGAAATTACCCCGCAGCTTTTTGAAGAGTTCAGCAAGCGCTTCGGCGCCCATGACGATTGATGAGTTTTCCATGTCTCGGATTAGGTCTTGGTTGGTTAAAGGTCACTTACGATACCTCTGTTTTCTCTCACTAGGGTGGGCTATGTTTGGCGGCATTTCGGTGTGGACGCGGCAATTGCGCGTGTTTGTTAGACAAGTCGCACTTTCTCCATTCACTGTAGATGCTTGGTGACCCTCCATGGTTGTGGCGGTTAGCTGCACTCGTTATACACTATTAATCATTCTTGCGAAGCTCGCTCACTATATTATGGTTGCTGTAAAAGACTCTCATTCGCTTTATAGGAGCGCCGACGACTTTGAAGCCATGTACGAGCGCGTCAGGAATCGTGCGCCCACCTTGGAGGGCGCTAAGCCCGGGTACCCAGCCGACGTCACCGATTCACCTCCGAGCTGTCCAGCACAGCCCACGCCAACAAGCCCGCCGTACCAGTTTGACGATCTGCTCGACGACCCAGACTACGACCAGATTAGCGACTTTGAAGAGCTTGAGAAGAGCCGCCTCATACACATCCGCGATCCACAGGAGGTCCGTAGACGCGCAATGGCGGCCGACTTCAGCGAAGGGCGCCTGGAGACGTTTGTCGGCAGCCCGCAGAAAGAGCTGCCAGGCACACCAAACCAATATGTCTCGTACCTAGTAACTACAAAGGTGTGCCTCTTGCTGCAGCTCCACTATTCCTACGTGTTCGGGGTCTAACAAACATCCCCGCAGTCCGACTTCCAGTCCTTCCAGAAACCCGAATTCTCCGTCCGCCGCCGCTTCACAGACTTCGTCTTCCTCTGGAAACAGCTCTCGAAAGAGTACCCGCAATGCGCCGTCCCGCCGCTGCCCGACAAGCACAAGATGGAGTATGTGCGTGGAGACCGCTTTGGCCCGGACTTCATGCAGAGACGCGCCCACTCGCTGCACCGCTTCCTCAAGCGGATATCACTGCATCCAGTGCTACGGAGAGCGGCCCTGGTTATCAACTTTCTGGAGAGCCCGGACTGGAATCAACACATGAAGGGACGGTCATCAAGAGCTGCAAGCGGCTCCGACCAGGGCGGCGGCGGCTTCGTGGACGCTGTCACAGAAAGCCTCATCAACACCTTTAGCAAGATTCACAAGCCGGACCAGCGCTTCATCGAAGTTGTCGAGCGTGCCAACAAGCTCGGCGAGGATCTGAACAATGTGGAGAAGGTTACCGTCAAGGTAGCCAGGCGACAGGGTGATCTGGAGACCGACTACGCCGATCTAGCGACACAGTGCCAAAAGCTGACGACCATGGAACCTGCGGTCGAAGGGAACCTGACATCCTTCGCTGCTTCTGTAAATACAACCTCACAGGGGTTCAAGTCTATCCGCGACCACACAGACCAGAACTACCTCACTAGTCTGCGCGACATGGACGCATACATCCAAGCCGTCAAGACACTACTCCGCACACGAGAAGCCAAGCAGCTCGATTTCGAGCAGCTGAGTGAGTACCTTGCCAAATCTGCCGCGGATCGGGATTCGTTGGCTAGCGCGACAGGGGCCGGCATGGGTGCGTCTGGCTTCCTGCGATCCAAGGTAGAAGACTTCCGGGGTATCGATCACGACCAAGCGCGCCGGCAACGGGTCCGCAAACTGGAGGTTGAGATTGAGCGACTCACGGGCGAAGTTGAGCTGGCTAAGAAAAACAGCGAGGCCTTTGACGAGCATACCGTCAAGGAGGTACAGGACTTTGAGCGCATCAAAGCGGTCGAATTTAAGGATACTCTGGGCGATCTCGCCGATGCGCATGTCGACTTCTTCCAGGGCACTATCGAGACGTGGGAGAAATTCCTGGAAGACATGCGCAGGGAGGAGGACCAGAGGAAGGCTGCTGCGGAATCATAGAACGATAACCGACGCGGACCTGCTTTGAAGGAACGACCGGCGCCCACGCCCGTTGATGCGCCGTCCGAGTTGAGGTACAGATTTGGAAGTTTTGAGTGAGTGAGCGGAAGGCAGGGTGAGCCTCCACGTGGCAAAGCTCAGTGTAAAGAGCTTGTACAGCAGTTGTTCTGTTGGCATTTGTATCTAATGATAACCCATTCCGTTGCACATCAGTCTCAGACTAGCATCTCAAGTACTTTGTTTTTGTACTGTGTAATGCTCTCACCAGACCGGGCTGTGATCTTCACGTGCAAGAGCGATTGGAGCCAAGCGATGACGTGCAATCTCGCATGGCACCAACCCTTGCAGATGGCTCTACCGAGCCGACGGACCCGTACCCTTTAGAAGTTTGACGCCCGCCAGAGCCATCCCGTTGTTCATCCCATCCCACAAGAGACAGGCGGCACCTGCAGCGCATATTCCCCGCTTCACCACATGGCCACGACCCTTATATAAATTAATCCGCCCCGCCAAACTCATGTCTCTCCCACACCCCGTCACACACAATCCCGCCATGCCGCCGAGCAAAGGTACGCCCCCTTGACGATCCACCGACGCGCATCCAACTGACATGATTAATTGCGCAGAAACCGCGAGGCATGAGTGCGTCTCCGAAGATGCGCTGCAACATCTCCGGACCTACAAATACTCGAGCGTCGACAAATCCTTCATCTCCCGCTACATCCTCAAGCATTACGTACGCACCCTGCACCCGCGCAATCGCAACGCGCCCTGACGTGAACATAGTGGAATGCCTTTGTCGAGCTGCTGCCGCTATGGCTGGCGCCGAACCTCGTCACGTTATTAGGCTTCTTCTTCATCCTGGGCAACGTCGTCCTGCTAGAGCTTTACATCCCGGATCTGGTCGGACCAGCGCCCTCATGGGTATACTACAGCTTCGCCTTTGGCATGTGGATGTAAGAAACACAATAGCAAAGAAGGATGAGGACTGCGCTAATCCCTTGCAGGTACTCCACAATGGACAACGTCGACGGAAAGCAAGCGCGCCGAACCGGCACCTCGAGCCCGCTGGGAGAACTTTTTGAGTACGTGATAAACACAGCCCAATGCGCCAATATCACGATACTGATTGTGACGTAGCCATGGGATTGATTCTTTGAACTGCACTTTGGCCAGTCTCCTCGAGACAGCGGCTGTTGGATACGGCTCAACCAAGATTGGCGCCTTTACTGCGCTGATCCCTGTGCTGCCCATGTTCTTCTCGACCTGGGAGACATACCATACCCATACGCTGTATTTGGGCTACTTCAACGGTCCTACAGGTACGTTAGCTGCTTGATTGGCGTGGACATTACTAACTCCTCACAGAGGGACTCATCCTTGCATGCACCTTCATCTGCATGTCCGGCTACTTCGGCCCAGAGATCTGGTCGAAACCCCTCGCGACCTACTTCCCATCCTACAAAGCAGAAATCGGCGACGTAACCCTGAAGGAACTCTGGGTACCCATCATCCTCTTCACCTTCTTCGCCGCCCACCTCCCCGCCTGCATCGTCAACGTAGCGAAAGCGCGTCGCTCCAGGAACGAGCCTCTGCTGCCCCTTCTCAAGGAATGGACACCGCTAGTCATCTTCGTCGTCTCCACCATGGCCTGGCTCGGATCGCCATACTCAAAGCTCCTAGAAGACAACCACCTCGTCCTCTACTGCCTGACTATGTCCCTAGTCTTCGGACGCATGACAACCAAGATCATCCTCGCGCATCTCACACACCAGCCCTTCCCTTACTGGACCATCATGCTCGCCCCCATGATCGGAGGCGCCCTGCTCATCAACCACCCCTACTTCACCATCCCCGGCACAACATTCGGTCCCATCTCCGCTAGCTTTGAACTCTGGTACCTACGCGCTTACTTCGTCTTCGCTGCTGTTGTGTACGGCAAGTGGGCACATTTGGTTATTACGAGCATCTGCGATTACCTTGGTATCAACTGTCTTACTATTCCTAAGAAGACGAATGAGAAGAACGGAAGAGCGAATGGTGTTGTTGATGGGAAGGGCCGAACCGACTAAACATGTTCCTTGGTTCCGGACGGTAGACAACCTTCGACGATGAACCCTTCTCATACCGTATAGACTGGGCGGCACGTCTCTAATCGACTTTAGCGTTCATTCGCATCATATCGCAACGCATCGCAGCGCAAGCGATACTTCACGACTATCCGACAAAGACCGTACATTTGACGTTTTTGACGACCCGCTTTGGATATACACATTTTTATTAAGCCTTGTAATTAGCAATGCTGGATCGTATGGTGCGATTTCAGCTTGTTCCCACTTATTCATCATCAGTAGACTTTTAATCGCGTTTTCAACAACGTTTGCATAGAGGAAAGAAGGAAGAAGGGGAGGATGTACAAAGGGGAAGGGGAAGGAGAAGACGTAGAGCTTAGGCTTGAAAACAAATTAATGGATATGAAGATCTGAAGTTGAAGTTGAAGCTGTTCATTGTCCATTGCTCGATGAGTGTTTCCACCTGATACAACTTGAGGTGTTTGGAGCAAGCAAGCATGCGAAGCACAAGTCTTATAGCTTTGCCACCTGCCTGTGTATATCGGAATTGAATTGAATCGAGCTTTCCATGTCGATACACCCCGATACGTAAGATGATGACACCCGTACCATATCACATATTCAAATCTTTGTCATCGGAAGCCGCTAACAGTCCACTCACTACACATAACCGCCTCCACTCCCCTCTCTTCCGCTTACCCGGCGAGCTCAGAAATGATATCTATGCCTACGCGTTCACCGAAGAATTTATCCTAGTTCGTCCATGCATCTCTCCTCGCTACCAATTTCGCGTAGAACCCTCTGGCTACCCAAAGAGCACATCCCGCCGCTATCCACTATACCACCTTCTCAACAGACGAACAGTATGTCGCCAGGTCTACCTCGAGACCGCGGGATTGATATTTCAATCAAATGAGTTTCGCTTTTACCACGCAAACGCACTCGCTGATTTCATGCGCGATGTGCCGAGTGCATGCCGCTTTCAGATCGAGAACATACGATTAGCGTTCTATGAGTCCCCCAGTGCGGAATTTATACGCAGTTTAGGAAACTGGGGATTGCGCGGGTTGAAGGGGCTGAAGAAGGTCGTTGTTGAGACGGGGGCTGAGGAGGTAGATGAGGCATCAAAAAGGGCGATACGGCGGTGGATTGAGGGGTTGTTTCGGAGGGTAGCGGGGAGGGGAGGGGTTGGAATTGAGGTTGATTTCGAGTATGAGCAGGTTGAGGATGAGGAGTCGGATGAGTGATTGTCGTAGTTGCGGTTTCTCTCTCGGGTAGTCCTCCTAGCACAAGACGAATTCCTGCTCTGATACGAGTCCCTCCCGCTGCTGGTCTAGGATTTCCCCATTCATGAACCCGGGCATGTAGCATTCTCCAATGACTTGATAGAGACCATCATCGCACGGCCTTAAGACTACTGGCCAACAACAGCCGAGCAGGATAACAACAACATCTCCCGGGCGAGCTGCTACCGGAGCCAATCCCACATAACCCGTGCGTGTCGTTATCAAAGCCCTGTGATCTAAAGAGTCCAGGGCCGAATGTGTAAATCGCCGGAATATTGCGATTTTCACTCTTTGCTCGACGGATGATTGTTGTTGCTCGACGGATGATTGTTCTTGCTCGACGGATTGTGCAAAGAAAGTTTGAAATTTCCGGCCGCTAATGCAGAAGTCTTTGTTGTGTTTCCTGAACTTGTCCCATCTTTCAAAGTTACTGGATTGAAAGAGTTTGAGCCATTCCGGATCCGAGGGGACGTTGGCAAGGCTGTCGTCGATGTCGTGACTCAAGTTCCACGGGATCTTGAAGAGTAGCATCGAATTAATTGGGAGCCCTTTCATACGAAAGGAATTTTCGATAGCTTCTAGAGTTCGACCACTGTATCTGTCAGAGACGGTACCTGATTGCGTAGCATGAGAATCCAGAGGTGGCTCAGCTGCGATACCATCGACTGTGTCGACTTGGAATCCGCTGCACGCAAGATAAGTACGATCTATTTCTTTCTCGATAAATCTGAAATGAGCAGGTAAACCTCTTCTCGGTTTGCGAAGTATCAAATCTTCGACGTTGTGGCGTTGGAACGGCTCCCTCCAGTCAGGTACCCATGATGGCCACCCTTGCTCAGCTGATGTACCTCCAAAGGCGATTCGTTCCAACCGTTTTGATGCATTGATGAAAGACTTCATGAAATTTGTATAGACTTGCCGCACTGAGAGCGAGTAGTTTGGTGTGACACCTGCGGTGATATCAGAATCTAACAGGCCGAGTATGCTGTAAATTTTATCTCTCTCATCAGTTGCGCCGGCTTGACGAACGATATCCAATAGCGATTTCGGGGTCATTCCAAAGTCAGTCTCGGAAGTAAGCGTTGTAAGATCATGTATCCGCTGGACCATGTCAAACGTTCCACGTTGAAACTTGTTGGGGGGTTGACGGTTGCTATAATCAGAGCCCGCTAGTAAACGCTGACTCGAACGGATGCCCCGCTGAATCAGTCTCCTCGTCAATTTAAGCTCCCCGCACATAAAAAGAGTCGAATTGTGGTTCATTGCGAGCTCCTGGATGATCCAACACCGATTCCAGTAAGGCTTTTGTGCAAAAGCGAGGAGGGCGAGCAGTTCGGAATGAGATTGCGGGGTACGGTCTTCCGCACATCTACCGTGCATTCTCTGAACAGCGATCCTATCCTGTTCATCCTTTTGGCCCAGCCAGACTATCACAGCTCTAGCTCGACCGTATATCTCTTGCATGCGCTTGACCTGTTCATTTCGCTCTTCGATATTTTCCTGGTCAATGCACAATGAATCTACCCAGTAGCACATGCCTAAATGGGTCTCTTCCTGGCTCTGCAACGCTCTCAAGGCTTCTTCGAGATTGCGTGGAACGCTTTTGCGCACACCGTTTATGTTGATAGCGTTTGTCTCGCTTGCATTACCCCATGTGTATGACAGGGCTTCAAAGTCTCCCCAGTCGTAACGAGAGCCGTTGCACTGAGGATAGCGCCGATGTAGACCAGCATGTACGGCCGCATTGAGTCTCGTTTGCTCGAGGGCTGAGTCTCGCAGATCTACAGACTTGGTGAATTTATCCCACGCTATCGGAAATTTTCGTTTCTGCGAGCCTTGCTGATGCAGTTGAGAGTCGAAAGAGCTCGGTAGTGATACGTTCCTGACGGAGCATTGGACGATGTCTTCAGTCAGGACTGGGCTGGAAAGATTGAGAAACTCGAGAACACGGATCTCGTTCTTCGTCTTGTCGAGAGGCTCGTACTGCATCTTGTGCATATGGATGGACCGGAATGCATCGAGAAGAGAAATGAAATCGCTGTGGCTTTTGATAGTCTGGGAAGGACTTTGAATTAGACGTTCGGATACACTCAAGTCAGGCCTTTAACATACTGAAAGAGGTTCAGACTTATTAACACTGAGCTTGTCGACTTATGCAGCCAAGACGCTTCTAGAACGACACAGAAGCTTGTTCTTCTTCTGCGTTGCTCACCGGTTTCGAATGACGTATAAGGATCTGAGGAAGCAGGGGACTCATTGGCTTATGGAGCTGTGGCTATATGCCAATATCAAATCACATCCGTGTGAGGCGCATAAACTACCCGCACTTACGTGCAGAACCATTATCTGTTGCAAAAATCTTGTCACTGTCGAGCGAGAGATGGTATCGACGTACCGATCGCGGTTACCACATGGCTGGATTTGGTGTCTGCACTGTGCATCATCCTTAACGGAACGCCAACTGTTTGTGTGTACTCATGGCCAGTATAGAAACTTGAAGAGAATTGATGAGTTATGCGTATCGTGCCTGGAAGGTTGGACAGAGGTAAGCTATAAGTGTGTGTTTGGTAGCGCAAGGGGAGAACTGCATATAGATTGAAGAGCAGTCGAAGGTAGTACATCAACGGATAAGGAAAGAGTGAAGAACGTCGTTGTTGTTAGCCGTTCGATGACATCAGTACATCCCGTTACTGGGTGATCCGCCATCAAGTGGTTTCGACTAATGTTGGTCTGCAGAAACATATTGACGTTCGATGGTCTAGCAGCGCTGTCGTGGTGAGGCTCAGTGAAGGAGAGCGCGGGGTAGGAACCTTGGAATTTCGTTTCGTTAGCGCGAAATCTGACTGCCCACATAATTTCTGTGCGGCAACAACGAGCGCCCAGCATTACCGCAACTTCACAAAATGGCACCCGCATCACTACTGGACCTCGTGTCCGCGCTGCCCGACACTGCAGGATGGGGCCCGCCAGTTACCAGCGAGTCGATGCTCGACGGCGTACCGTTCGCGCCTTACTCCAAGGCGGACAAGCTGGGGCGCATGGCCGACTGGACTGAGGGCAAGGACCGCGAGCGGGGAGGACGCCAGCAATACGGCAACCGCAACTACAGGGGTATGTTTGGTGATGGTGAAGGAGAAAGAAGATGGATACTAACAAGGCTTTATAGACCAGCAGGTATACGGCGCCAACCAACAGACCAACCCCTTCGCCATCCAGGCCGCCGAAGAGGAGGCTACCTTCTCCGTCGTCGACAACACACGCACATCAGCCCGTGGCCGAGGATTTGGACGCGGCGGCGGCACCGTCTTCCGTGGACGTGGAGGAGCGCGAGGTGGGCAGGCGCAACGTGGTGGGCGGGGCACCTTCCAGCGTGTTGGTGGCCGCGGTGGAAACCAGTACGACAACCAGCGTGGTGGACGTGGCGGCAGGGGAGGACGTCGCTTTGGCTGGAGGGACGACAAGCCCCAGCGCAACCGCGATGCCTCCGTCCAGGTCAAGCCCGAATGGAACGTTATGGAGGAGATTGACTTCTCCCGTCTCAGCAAACTCAACCTCGACACCCACGAGGGCGAGGACATTGACAACTACGGATTCCTCTACTACTACGACCGTAGCTACGACAAGCAGCCCGGTGCCAGGACCTCGGAGCGCAAACTCAACGTCCTCGACCGTGCCGCCTACAATGTCACCACCTCCAGCGATCCTATCCTGCAG